TCAAGAAATTGCGACATAAATAAGAGCGATAAAGATAGGGATGAAATAAAAACATGCTTGATTCTAGATGGGAGAAAAGCAAAACAAAATATTGATGAAGGAGAAACCAAAAAGAACGATTTTTTTTTTTTTTTTTTTTTCTAATTTTTTTTTATCAATTTTCTTGAAAAAAACTAATAAATCAACCTAAATTTCAAATCAATGTTTATATTAGTTAAATTTCAAATCAATGTTTTTGGTTTTTTCCTCTTTTCACAGACAAAAAAAGAAGAAAAAAGAAAGAAAACCCTCCTTGATAAATGGTAGTGTTTATCAATGAAAATTGTAAACAAATACATAATTTTTGGTATTGTTCCTAGTAATACCGCTACTTGAGATGACGGTTTTGCCCTCCTCTTCCAGCCGCTATTTAAAATATCGATTTTGGGGTAAGTAGCGGTTTAGCATGTGATATTACAATTTTATTCTTTGTAGAAATTATGTTTTTCAAGATGATAAACTAGGCTCCTTACAAAAATAATTTTTTTTTTACTTTTTTGTTTCTAAGAAACGTGCAACATTGGGAATCTTCTCATTCTTTAATTCCCTTGAAAAATTCAAAACTAATACAAGTTAATTAATGGGATTTTTTTTTTTGATGCAAACAAGGGGCTAGGCCCCAAAAAAACAAAAAGATATAAACTAGGAAGGAATAAAATGTGGCATAGCCACACCTACAACATCATTATGAATAATCAATAATACGCCTTAGAGTTAGGAGTGAAACTTGAATCAACTCAATGTCGTTGTTTAGATTATCTCCTTGGTTTGCTAACCAATTAGTGGCACGATTACCTCCTTGATAAATATGCTTTACCTCAACCTCCCATTCTAGTTTAGCAAGTAGCTTCTAGCAATGAGCAATATCATGGAAACATTCTCCCCCATAATCATCCGAGCCATTAAAAATTTGAACCACTGCTTTGTTATTGAGGTGCACTTGGGATTACGGGAGTAAATAAATTTTCCTAGCATGATATGTCAATATTTTCACGATTCAATGTTAACTCAATTAGATTACTCTAGTCAAAACAAACATGTGAAACAGACCACCCAATCAAAATTTTCAACTTGGCTTTACCAAATGAAAACTCCAAAAATTTGACATAACATCACTCCTCTACCGATCATAATTTTCCATCTTTCTTATTATCACTAATTTTCACATTTAAAAGCAACATAATAATCCAAGATTTGAATAAACTCATCTTTTGATTTGATTGTTATAGAAAGAGGGACCCAATTTTTGGATAAGGTTTTCCAAAAACATTGAACAAAGTCTTAGGGTAAGTTTATATCTAGTCTTGAGATGAGTCTTTAAAAAAGTCTTGAGCAAGACTCTAGCAATAATCTTTACCAAGACAATAGATAGTTTTGAGATGAGTTTTGGATTCTGTTTTGGGTAAAAATATCCAGGGCCATGTAGTCCAATGAGATGGTGATATGTGTCACCTTAGGAGAAGTTCACAGATAACCAATCCCCTGCTGACACGTGGCATCTCCAATTAGTGGGAAAAGACGGTCTTCTTAGCCCAATTTCCAAAAAAGCCCACCATTCCTAGGTTTTTGTAACCTAGAATGGCAGAACGCATTTCGAGACCATATAAATAGTGAGATATTCCCACTTAGAAATTCATTCAGATTTATTCACAAATAGAGCAATCATCAATTGCAGATATTCTCTCGGAATCCGAGAAAACACTTTACTTTCCACACATTTTACATACTTCATACACGTTCTAACTTGATTGTCGGAGGCGGAACTCCACCTAGGATGTACAGACACTTCGTCCAACAGCCATGTCCGTGTCCGACACCGTATCCGACACCGACACTCGTTCGACACACGACGGATACACATATAAACTGCAACCGATTATTTAATATATTTAGACACTTTGAGATGAATCGTATCCTACTATGATATGATCCGGTTTGCATTTTGATATGTTACCTCATCTTAATTAGAAAGTTAAGGTAAATTTTGAGAGAAAAAGGTAAGAGTTATAATACGAGCGCCTTCAAAACACATTTGATAGCACATTATTGTATGTGAATTAGGAGAATATCATTTAGCTACGGTAAATGACTTGTTTTAAGGTTAATTATTTAGTGTTTTGTTGTATAGGTTGTCAAAATCTCATTTTTTTTTGAAATATTATTTGTCTTGTTATTTTCTGTACCCGTGTCCCCTATTTTAGAATTGTCGTTTTGTCGTGTCCATATTGCACCGTGTCCGTGTCCGTGTCCTTATCGGTGCAATCTAGAACTCCACCCAACCGGAATCTCCATTGTTTTACAGGTACAGGCGTCTAGAATCCAGTTTTGGAATTGTAACTCTTCCGAGAGACACGAAAAACCCCAAAATAGTTTTCAAAACTTATCTTGAGACTATACAAAAGGACAAAAATAATTATGTTGTTCAATAATGAGCTGCCAACTCACCATTTAAAAAAATAAAATAAATATATAAATAAATTAATGTTATTAATATTAATTGGATATGTAAATCTGAAGTAAGTTTTGGAATAACGTGTGAAATTAAAAAAAAAAAATCTGATGTTATAGGAGTATAAGTCTGTATTAGGATAAACTTACCCTTAGCTCTAATAATAATAAATCCTCCATTTTTTTTAAAGGATTAAAAAGGGAAAAAAAATCCCGAAACTTACTCCTCGATAAAAACACTTAAATAAGAAAATAATCATTACATTCCATATTACAAACCCGACAACCTTTTAAAATGTTAATGTTTGCCTTTTTTACATTGCTCGAAATTTCTTTCCCTTTTTTGCATATGCAATACCATTAATATAGCTTCAAACAATTAAACCCTAAATTCTTTTATTACATTCATCTTCTTCGTAATCAAGAGTTTTAAACCAGGTACATATTGAAAATAACCATTAATCTTCATTATTTTCCCTCTAATTATTGTGGCATTTACCCAATATAAATCGTTTATTATTATTATTTTTATTATTAATTGCTTTTTTTTTTTTTTTTTTTTTTGAATTTGAAAGTATTTTCATATTAATTACTTGTATAGTTGTATCACTTTTTTTTGATTTATTTTAAAGTTTTGATATTGATTAATTATTTGTAATAAACAGGGTAAGAAGAATTAATTAGCAGCATCAATGGCGATGAGGTGGGGCATGTCTTTGAGAGTAGCGACATTGGTGTGGGTAGCTTTATGCACTTGTATTTCTGTGATGTTTGCATTTGCGCAAGATATTTCTAGTTCTTTAGATTCGTAGAATAATTAATTAAGTTTTTCGAGTTTTCGTCACATTGATGGTGTAATTTAAATTGGTACTGTTTTGTTGATGGCCTAATTTAAACTGGTACTGTAATGATTTAATCCTTCTAAATCATGTGAATCAATTGGGTAATTTTATTCCAATGATATACTTCCTCCGTTTCTTAATAGATGACACGTTTCTTTTATCACGTTTGCCAACGCACAATTTTCACTAGTTATATCTCCCATTATCAACATTGTAAAATTATAAAAAGTGGATATTAATAAAATATACATTAAGACGATTCAAATAAGATCCCACATGATTATGTTTTATCGTAGCTACAAATCACAAAAGCAAGTCAAAGTGTTGTTTGTGAATAGTGCAAAAGTCAAACCGTGTCATCTAAAAAGAAACGGAGGAAGTATATGTTTAGGTAGAATAATGTAATTGTATGATTAAACAATAGAAGTACAATGATGTAAATACTACTCCACGAATTCACAATTCATAATTGATGGTTAAAAATTACTGTACTTTTTATTTTCTACCGTCTCCTTTTCACTATTTACGAAAGATTTCGTAATACTTAACTTTACGAAAGTATATCATTTTTAATCATAATCGTCTTAATAGTTTGAAAAGGTATATAATCAATATTAATAGATAGAATGCTACGGAGTAAATAGGAATGTCAATGGGGATGAGGATGTTGGTACTCCAATCACATCCTCACCTAAAATAGTCATCTAATCGATCTTCATCCCATCACCCATAAACCATAACAGATAACCCACCAAGCATCTCCGGTCCATCACTCGATCATATGGATATTTACCCTTGCATTATACGGACTTACGGGATACCCATTTTACCCATCCGGCCATCCCATTCACCTAATTAATCCATGCACTACCCTTAAATCCACCTCACATGTCAAATTAATTCTTAAATTTTACTCGCGTAAAAGTACAAATATAATACAAGTACACTAAAGGTTTGTTCTCTTCACCTTATGAAATAAATTTCACATCTAATAAGTTCCGATAAGTTCCAATAAGGTCTAATAATAAAGTCTAATAAGTTCAACGAGATATAATAAGTTCAAATGTTCAATAGGATTTAATAAGTTTTAATAAATTAAATAAGGTATAATAAGTTCTAATAATAAGGTCTAATAAGGTCCAATTAGTTTCAATAAGGTTGCATAAGTTCTAATCATTTCAATAAAGTCTAATAAGTTCCTATAAATTTAATGTATAAGGTCTAATAAATTCAATAAGATCTAACAAGTTTAGATAAGTACGGTTTAAATAAGTTCAGATAAGTTCAAGTCCAATAAGGTGGAGAGAACACACCATAATTTAAGTTAATTTTATATATCGCCTCATACAGACGACGAGAATTATGTACTTCCGTAATACTATAAAAACAATATTTTAGAATTTAGGTTGGGTGAGTATGGGGGGTACATCTTCTTATACTCCGTAAAATATCTATAAACTAATTCCGGTTTTAGAAGTCAAGTTATTTGAATTTTGTACAGTTTTTAATGCACATCTATGAGACTATGATCATTAATATCTTGAGCTATGTCTAAAAAATTTACTCCATCTAGTACAATGACTACAAATCTACAATCAATATATTTATTTTATTTATCTAAATAATTTGAATAATATAATGAGCCAAACTTTCATAAACAAAAGGAACTCAACCTCAATTATCTCTTTAGACTTTCTCGTGGGACCAATTTTTATTGGATAAGAATTTTAGTGAAATTTGATTAAAGCCGAATCCTCTAGATAAAGGAAAAACAAGGGATAAAAAGAGTAATTCGATAAATACTATTATTACATAAAATAAAATATCATCATCACATTATTACATATTCAACCGAACAACTTTAATCTTTTTCTTTTTCCTTTTCAGTTTTTAACCTACTTTCTCATCGTAATACAGGTACACTTTGAAAAATAAAAGATTATTAATTTGATTAGTTTCATGAATTTGATTATTTTGTTTGATTAACGATATAATTCTGTTTAATTGAGTACTTTTAATAACAGGGCAATTAGTATAAGAAGCAGAAAAGCAGCATCAATGGCGATGAGATTGAGCATGTCGTTGCGAGTGGTGGCATTCGTGTGGGCAACTTTATGCAGCTTTCTTTCTGTGATGTTTACATATGCTCAAGATGTTGCTAATTCTTAGGTACCTATAACTATTTTCTGTGCCCGGAATTAATTATCATATTGATTATGATCCGCGGTGTTGTAATTGTATATAACAAAGTGAGTTTATTCGGAAATAGGAATTTTTTGAAAGATATTTTCTTATGGTAGTTTTTTTTTTTTTTTTTTTTTTTTGGAATAAGGAGAACAACCCTACAAGATTGGGGCTTTATGTAAGAAGTAATAAATTTGATTGGGATGTAAATCCTTTTATTGAATGATTGGAATTATTGAGACTATTTTGATACTTCGATTGTGTCCAAATTTTTCTTGTAATTTTGGTTGTTGTATGTATTGAATGTGTATAACTGATTGATTAATTTAATTGAGAGATATGGTGGGGAACTCACCTTTCTATTATGCAGTAAAGGTGATTGACTTTGGCCCGGTCTGCAAGTCTAATTTGGCACGGTCCGTAAAAGTGTTAATTTAATTGAGAGGTATGGTGGGGAACTCACCTATGCAATATCAAGGGTTTTCTAGCCTCTATATTCTGAAGACCGAAATAAAGGTGTTGACTATGGCCTGGTCTGCTAGCCCGATTTGAAACTGTCTGAAAAAGTGCAAGTTGGATAAGTTTAAAAGCCCAAAAAAATCTAAAAGACCCAATTTTAACCTGACAAGCTCTTTACAATTAAGCAAATTTTGGACATGAGATTTGATTCTAAGGCCCGGTCTAACTCGGATTTTGATCACCTTTACTCTGAAACCATGTACAGTTTTATGAAACATACTGAGGAGGATAAAATAATAGATGGTGCAACTAAAAAAAAAAAAAAAAAAAACAGTGGAGGAAATGCTAGTCCTTGACTCATTGTCATACTTTATCTTTTATTATCATATCCAGGCTAATATGGACAATGATGACATGATCTATTTTAAACTTGATTGTACCATGCTAATTTTGACAGAAAATTTGAAGCTATTGAAATTTGGTGGCAAATACTTATCATAACCTTAGCCATTTTGTTCCATGATGTGAATGGAAGTTAGTTCTTAAATTGATTAAGTCAATAATTTTGTTAAATAATGATAAAATAAGAATTTTGGTGGCTAATGTATTTCTTAACCTTAGCCAAATTGTTTCATGATTAAGTCAATTAAAAATGTTATGCTTAGAGCAACTCCAATAACAAGCTAATTGTCAAATTAACTTGTCATGCCACATGAGCTTTTAAGCTAATTATCTTTCTAGCTAATTTGAGTTCCAATGGCTAGTTATTAGCTTACTATTTAAATTATTAATTTATTGTTTTCATCTTAATTACTAATTTACTTTTAGTATTTCTTTTTGGCAAGTTTTTTTCAAGCAAATTTGCTTGGCCAAACTAATTGCGTATTCTAGCTAGCTCCAATGATCAAGCCAGTAGTTAGGGACTATTTAAAATTGCAAGCAAGCCCTAGCTACAACCATTAGAGTTGCTCTTACAATCTAAGATTTTGTAGTGTACTTTGTTTGTACGGAAACACATCCCTTTCGTTTGTCGCTTAAATATGAAATTATTGTATTCATACACTTATATTATCAATACAACAATGATGGATATATTAGTCCATGATTTTAGTATTCTTATGTCAAACAATCCTAAATTATATATATATATATATATATATATATATATATATATATATATATATATATATATATATATATATATATATATATGTCAACTTAATTTTCTCTTATTTGAATTTATATAAACAATTATGAATTTATAAACATATCTAAATTTATATAAACTCATATCAATTTGAACCTATCTAAATTTATTTGAAATTATCTGAACTTATTTGAATTTATAAGAAAATATCTGAATTATATGAAATAATTTGAACTTATCCGAATTTATCTGAAATTAAATTATCTAAAATTATCTTAATTTATCATAAATTATTTGAACTAATCTGAATATTTCAAAAATTATCTAAACTTTTCTGAATATATCTGAAATTATCCAAACTTATCTGAATTTATTTGAACCAATTTGAATTTGTCTGAACTAATATGAATTTTTATAAACCTAACTAAAATTATATGATATTATCTGAACTTATAGTCTTGAAATAAGAGAAAATAAGGTGAATTGAACAAACCCTTATCTGAACATTCTTTAACTTATTAGACCTTATTATAGTTTATTTTAGTTTTAATTTATTTAAATTCGGATAACCTTTATTAATATTTATTAAAACTTATTTTAGCTACACGTCAAACTCAAGTAACATTTATTCATTATTGACCACTAGTAATGTGTCTTTACTAAATAAGGAGTTAGAATTATTATGAAACCAACGTAAAATAAATGTGTTGCAATTATAACGAAATGAAAGGTTATAACTTCATTAAAAAAATTCAAACATTACTAAAATTTGAAAATCTAGTATTCTTAATCACGATTTAGATGCTAATATATAATAAACATCTTAATACTTCTAATAATCAAGTTGCCAATGAATTGACGATGATAAATAGCCGCAAAGACGATGATAAATGCAAAACGGTAAGGAAAAAGACATTTTACAATGATGTGATAATTACCCGATCAAGGCAATAAATAGTCATTTTCAGTAATAATTTGAGTCGTCAATCTTATAACAATTCTAATAAGCCAATACGAAACTTAATTAAATGAAACCCAACGGACTATATATGAATGAAAATCTTCAATAACACAAATGACATGACATGTATTCTAATATAGTTAAAACGACTTGAACTGAGATGGATCCGAATTCAAATTAGCCGACTCAAAATCGAAACTAAAGTAATTTCAACTGAGAATGAGCTAATAATCGAAGAAACCATATTCAAATTTTAATCGGAACTGAATTGATTTGAATCGAGATCTAATCGAATTCGAAAGGACCCATTCCAAAGTCAAATAAATCCATTTTGACCCAAATAAACCCGATAAAATCCGAAACCGAGTTCATCTTAACTCGATATGACTCGACTCGAATTTGACTTGACCCAACTTTGATTTGTATCCAACCATGCTTGAGCTCAATTTTAACTCGAATCTAATTAAGCTCAACCCGATTTGATTTGGTTTGTTAGATTAATATAACTCATCATTACCCGACCCAAACATCCCGACCCGTCGTGGATCAACCCAAACTCCATCTGGGTACCCGATTTGACACCTCTAATATATTACAAAAGATGGTCAAAGAAGATCAAGTAAATAGTGTTGAAATCCTTAAGGTGCAATAGAAGAAAAACGAAAGAAGTATTATCTTATTGAACCAGTTGTATTAAGTCTTAAGGGTTTGGTATCTTAAGGTTTGAACGCGGTCGCTTTGAATTACTATTGTGAGCGATTTCATAACAAAATGAAAAGATAAAATAAGGGGAAATTGGCAGAATTACACTTCAAAGTTCAAATAATAATTTCAGAATACTTACTTTTTCTTCTGAAAAATAAACATTAATTTTTGCCAATCTAAATAGCTCAAATAAGAAAGGGCTTTCTACAACAAATGAACAAATAGATTTTCCCTAGGTACAAGTACAAATGACAAGCACCATAAATATTTGAAGACCAAAACTTGTTTAACAGCCATCTCATCCATATTCAATCAGTTGTATCCGCTAACTAGCTACAAGTCAAAAGGTTCATGGTGAATCAACTACCGCTTGTTGCTCTTCCCCCATTCGCTCGAGATAAAGCAGAGCTGGGTCAACTTCCATGAACCCGCCCGCAACCGCATGCTTCCCAAGTCCACAGGTATAATCAACAATGCTAATTTAGGTGTGTACCAATATGCCTATTGTTGTGTTTGCTGTGGAGGTGGACCAGGTGGTAGAGGAGGCTGTGGCATACCACTTTGATTAGAAGGCTGCCATTCATAATGAGAACAGTTAATTAATTTACGAAATTAAATGAAGGAAATAAACAAACATTTTATTTGTAAAGACGTCAATTTGCTGCATTTCACAGCAAGGAATAGGAAGATTAAATTCTGGTATTATTTCACAAGACCATACAGTTTTTTCTTTACTTTTTGTTTCGCAATTAAAGAAACACAATCGTGTTTTAACCCTAAAGTTTTATCTAAAGAATATTTGTCAGTTCATATATAAAAATAAATATCTTAATCATTAACACACCAGTTGCAGAAGAAAATTTTGCACTTGGCAGCTACAAGGTTTGTAAGCTCCTATTATTTCACAAAACCACAATTTCATTCTCCCATTATAATTCAATTTCCTTCAGCAAATCATGCTAATTTTAAATATGTCAATTCAGTTAAATTTTAAAACAACAATCTAAATGACCTAATGCCCAAACAGCATCTCGAACACGTACCTGATAAGGACCAAGCCCAGGCATCATCGGCATTTGTCCACCTTGAGGACGGTTGAATGCTCCTGCAGGAGGATACATTTGTGGTCCACTCGTACTTGGTGGGCCCTGCATATTTGGCATACCATTTGAGAAACCTCCAGAGGGAGGCATTCCACCACTAGGCATGGGACCTGACTGCATAGGGTTCATGCCCATGTAATGCCCTTGCTGCATTTGTGGTACCATTTGATTTGTAGCATTCTGCATTCCCTGTAACAGTACACAAGATCAACAGAGGAAACCAAAAGGAAGATTTCAAGCAATCTCCACCAAGGAGAGCTGTAGGAGAGGAAAAACAAAGACAAAACAATTAAATGAGATGCCCATTAAAAGTAGGTATGAGATAGTCATGTAAACCTATTCCCTTTAAGAAATCTGCAGAAGATTGGATAAACAAAAGCCCATAGAAAACCAAGAGGAAACTACGAATGAAACACACTGACATAAACTCAATAAAAGACTTAAAACTAGTGGATACAAAAACAATGAAGTCAACAACCCAAGTACACAATAGTGAAGTCCATGAAATTTTACCATAGGACCAGGCATTGGCATTTGAGCTGATGTAGGTGGCATCGGCATGGATCCAGGCATTGAAGAAGGGATGTTAGAGGGCATATTATGTGGTGGCATTTGGGGAGGGGGGCGATGAATATGATGATGTGGATGGAGCGGCATATGAGATGGAGGCTGTAACTGAGGCATATTTGGAGGTGGCTGTGGGAAATTAGACATTTGTTGGGGGACTCCTTGTTGTGGAATTTGTTGAGGATTATGTTGATATGATTGAGGTTGATTGGGAGGCATCATAGAAGGATGAGGGCCTGGTGGCAAAGGAGGTGGATGAGCCTGCTTCTGCTCTCCATGAGAAGAATTATCAACTGACGGAATGGAAAGC